ACACATAAACGCCAGGACTCTCTCATTTGTCTCGTTTAGAGTTTCTTCATTAAAAATCCTCCAAAAAATTATCACAATCTTTATGCCTTTTTCTTCGAGTTTCCTCCTCATGTGTAGTTGCTGATTTCGTTGCTTTGCATTGCCTGTGCAATGTCTTCTCTTTGTTTTTGTTTTGTGAATTTTATAATCCGTATTTCTGATTTGGTGCTTCCTGTACTTCCTTTTAATTGTTGTTTTTGTTTCGAAACGGAAGATCCTTAGACGGTCAACCTGAAATTTTGATTGTTTGGTAGGGACATTCACATGTGTGTGATGACCATTCATTCATTCTCGTATAAAGTAGGGATATCAATTGTTTCTATTCGGACAATACAACGTTTCAGTTGATTTGATATAAACGCGAATTGTGTCCCTTGCGCAATTTTTTTTTGTATTAATCAACATTGATTTGAGTTGTTGTAGTTCCCTTGTACACTTGTCTTAAGAAATGAAAGACACTGTTTCAAAAAAAAAAAAAAAAAACCGGAGGCTGTTACAAAATATCCATGGGAATAAGTCTTCAAAAATATTTAACATTTTTCAAAATGAAAAAAGTTACATTTAAAAAAAAAGAAGAAATATTTACGCATATTGTGAATAGAAAAATGCATTAAAAATATTCATTTGAAAAAACAATTTTCCAAAACCTTCAAAACAAGTTTTATAACAGAAAACGTCGTTATAAACCTTGTGCTTTTAATTATTATCACTCCAAAAAATTATATATATTGTTTGATTATATGCCTTCAAAAATATCTCCTTTTTAAATAAATGATTTTATTATTCCTTCAAATTCATATATTTTTCTTAACACCAATAAATACATAAAGAGACTAAAAAATTAGTTCGAAATGCTATAACAATGAATGGATTATCTTGTTTATATTTTCATTCATAAAAAATACGATTTCAGTTCAGTTTACTATAAAAAATATGTTATTTTTGTTTTCATATTCCCGAAAAATAATTAAGAAGTTACAATTCTAGTTTATGTAACGCCTCAAATTTTAGTTTAGCCTCGATTTTACTTTGGTTATCTGTCTAAATATTTGTTATAAATCCTCTACTGTAATGTGTTTTCAATAAATGTTTTAAATAAAATTTAAATCCTCACATAAATGTTACTCCCATACTTATGGCCGTTGAATTTAAAAAATATCCTTAATATCATCTAATATAGGATTCAAATAATAAATTAATACGCAGATGGTCATGACTAAAAAATATTTGTGTTTAGGTTCTTTAAGCAAGTGTATCCACAATCATAAAATAAATTCTAAATATGTCCTTGAATATAAATGCAAAAAATAATTAGTAAATTTATATCCTACAACACTGTGTGTTGGGGGTATTATAAGTTTGATTGGGCTCGAACATAAAAAAATATATATGGATCTTCTTTCCAATTATGGCCCCATCCGAAATTTTGTTCACAAAATCTTTAGGGGTTAAAATGGGCCAAATCAGAAAATTTTCTTGATTTGCTGTAGAGGTCACAATTACAGACTCGGAATTTTGCATAGTGCTACAGTTAGGGCTGGAAGAAGCCTGCCATAACTTTTATGTAAAAAATACGAATATTTTCATTAGACCGCGAATATTTTTAATTTCAGCGATATCACAAATACACAAAAAGGTCATTTCTCATATTTAGCTAAATTCAGGATGACTTTTTGACAGAAAAAAACATAATATTTTTAAAAATCACATCAAAAGACGTGAAAAATGTTCCCTAATATTTATTGACACTTTTGTTTTGTAATATTTTTATCGCATGAGAATTGGAAACAATTTGATTTAAATTTTGAATTGTAAATTTTGTAATATTTTTTATACCGTACACCACATAGTGGTAAGGGTATTTGTTTATAACATAAAGAAGGAAGCGAGAGGGACTCATAGTTACGTTTGAGGATCTTCATATAATCTCTTTCTGAGTCGATTTATGCATGTCAGTCCGCCCGTCAATGTATTTTTGTGAACAAAATGAAGGTCGCAATTATTATCCGATTGAGATGAAATTTTGCAAGCAATATTTGTTTGGCCCAAGGGCGAACCCTATGAAAATTGGTGATAATCGGATCAGATTTAGATATAGCTCCCATATATCTTCAACCGATTTCGGGTTAATTGGGCCCCAGTGGCTAATATAAGTCCGAATGGCCTGTTTTTTTATAATACTTCAAATGCAGTATAGAAGCAAGTAAATCAAATTTGGAGAAAACGGGTTCAGACATAGCTATAGCTCCCATATGCACAGGAAAGTATGTATGGATCTTCCTATCTCGCCGAGCTGAGTCGATCCAGCTATGTATGTCCGTCCGTCCGTCTGTTCTTCAGTCCGTCTGTCAATGTTAATTTGTAATCACTCTACAGGTCGCAATTATGGCCCGATCTTCATGAAATTTAGAATGAAGGTATGACTGAGTCCAGATTAGAACCCTATTTCTTTTGGAGATGATCGCATAATATTTAGGTGTTGAAATGGACCAAAAACTGAATAATAATTCTGATTTTTCAGTTGCTCTACAGGTTGCAATTATGGACCAATCGAAGCAGAAGTTAGCATGGAGCTAGAGCTTAGGGGTGGCTAGAAGTCTTCCAATTTTGATGATCATCGGGTAATATTTAGTGGGTGAAATAGACCATAACATTTGTGTTAAATAAAAATCAAATTTTCCATTAAACCGCGAATATTTTTAATCCCGACGAAATCATAAATAGACGAACGCGTCAATTCTGACCGTTACGTCGATGCCGATAGTAAATATATCGGATATATATAGCGAAAAATATACAATGTGTCTACACAAAGGAAGAGAATGTTAGCTATAATTTTTATATCTCAAGCATGGCTGGACCGATTTTGACAAATGTTATCAATTCAGAACGCCCTCTTGGCATAAAAGTATAAAATCTAAAAAAATCGTATAAAAAGGTGTCAATAAAGAGGTTAATATAGGTTTTGTAGTATTTTGTGACATATTTTTATTTTTTTTTTCATATTTTTTATCGCATGCGATTTTTTCAATTTGACTTATAATATTAAAGTGTGTATTTTGTAAAATTTTTCCACTTTACAACACAGGTTGGGGTTATTATATACAGATTGCAATTATCGTCCAATCCTCACGAAAATTTTCATAAGTGCAGGGTTAGGCTCAAAAGGGCTAGGCCTATTGGTTTTAAAGATGTCCGCAATATATTTGAAATGGACCAACAACTAAAAATGTTCCTGATTTTGGTCACAAATAGAAACCAAAGGACATGCACGAAGTTAGTGTTTAGGACAGCGAGTAGGATGAACCACTACTTTTGTGTGAAAAAATTCCAGCATTACTTACAGGCGATATCCGAAATACACAAAAGCCGAACTTCTGGCTTTTTATGCTGATTTCGTTGACGTATATAGCCAAATATCGTAGACAAGCAAATCATATTGATGAGTCTAAATTTAGAGATACAGAGGGGCTTCTTGCTTTTGGAGATGATCGCAAAATATTTAGGGGTTCAAATGAACCAAAAGCAGAAAAAAATGCCTGATCACACAATTGAAGCCAATAGACACGCCTGAGAGGAGAGTTAAGGACAGGAAAGGATTCTAGCATTTTGGATGGAAAATGGACCACAACAACTTACAGTATGACGGAGTGCTTAAATATTGGGCAAATGTCCCTGGTCAATGACTCGTGACATAATTTCAAAATCTCAATCTTCCAAAATCGATCTGGATATAAGGGGGCTTCTAAAATATTGTAGTGTTGTAGGGTATCACATGGTCGGCCCCGCACGACTATAGCCTTTGCTTACTTGTTTTAAATATATTTCTGTGTGAAAGTTGTAGATTTGTTTTAAAAAATAAATGTCTCAAGATCGTGGTAAAAATCTTCAGTGTCAGGAATAGTTGTCATTCTAAAATTATTTCTAACACTAAAAATTTTTATATTTGTCAAAAATTTCCGGGTCAATTAAGATTCGATGATATCTCTTTAATATTCGTAAAAATGTTTAATTTGAAAAATCACCAATTTTTTTCCATGAAAAAATATTTTCAAAGAAATTCCTTTTCAAAAACTTTATGTCAAAATCTTCCGGGACCAGAATTAAGAATTATCTTTAAGTAATCTCAAAATATAATCTTCCTTTTAATTTTAGTAGCTAAAAATGTTATTAAAATTATTGAAATATTTGCTGTATAGATTCAAGAAGCTTTACGTTAAAAATAAGCTTTTGTGGTTTAATGGACAACTTTCTGGTAGAGTAAAATCTAATTGTTTTTTAATAACTTCATAAAGAAGGCGTGAATTTGGGCACAATTTTTTAGACTTTCTAATATTACATGTCCTTGAAATGTTTTTTTTTTCAATTTTTTTGCAGTTTTTTTTTTTTGTTTTTTTTTTTAAATGTAAAGTAATTTTTAAATTTCCCAATTATTTAAAATTCCCAAAATAAAAAGATTATTGAAAAATTTGGTTTTTTTAAATTGTTGTTTGTATTTTTTTTAAATAAATATTTTTTTGTTTAAATATAACAAAAAGTGTTTTGCATTCTTAATACTAGTTTAGTGTCTTCCGTTTAAAATTAAAAACTTAAAATTATAAAAAAATAAAAATAAAATTTTAAATCATTGTCTTCCATAAAAATTAAAAAATAATAATAATTAAAAAATTGTAAATGCTCTAAGGTTAATAATACTCAAAGGCACTGCTTCATTGAGTGGAGCCAAATATTTACAGACGATTTATGTACACAATGTAGACGACTGGTACTTAGCCAAGGAGCCAGTTGTTTGGGGAGGAGGAGTAGAAGTGCTCGCGGTATGTGGACGACTAAACGAGAGTCGATCTGAGACACATGGTACGAGTCACTGGTCAAACGTGTGTTGTTTGGTTTTTGTTTTGTATTTGATGAAGGCGGGTGTATTTCAAGCTGAGAGATGATAAGGAGCCAAGTTGAACTCCTTATTGATCTTGCCACGAGGAAATGTAGTCCAAGAGCTCTTCATCATCACCACCCTCGAAAGTTTCGAATTTGAAATCATGATCGGGTTCTTCCAATTTCAAGGGGGTGACAAAACTGTTGGCAGCATTGACTGAAACATCAGAATCAGAATAGGAGGAGGTGGGTGAGTGAGTCATGTGGTAGGCATGGTTGTCGACTGGGCTGCCCATGGAGGAGTAGCCATAGTTGCTGCCATCATTGCTGGAGTCATCATAGTTCAAGGGGGTGGATGAGATGCCGGTGGTGTTGGGAGCAGTGTTTTCAGATGATTCCAAGAGATCCTGCAAGCCACGGATATATTCAACGGCAATGCGTAGGGTATCAACCTTGGACAATTTCTTGCTGGCACCACGACCACCCGAAGACAAGGCATTGATGACGGATTGAGGGATGTGTTGGCGCAAGTTGGAGAAACCGTTGTTGACCTGCTTGACACGGTTACGCTCACGGGCATTGCGACGAGCCACAGAGGGCAATTGTTCACCATAGGGCATGTTGTTGTAGGTGTAACGCTTCTTTTCCATAATGGGACCGCCGGCAGCTGGCAGGGCAGGTTGGATGTTTTGCAAATTGCTGGTACCCAAAACCTTGGGTTGAGCCGGAGCAATGGGTTGCAATTTGTTGACATACTGCATGTGATGGGGAGCCATTGGTTGTTGTTGCTGCTGATGTTGGGGCAACATCATCATGTTGCCGTTGATAATTTGGAAATGGTGTTGTGGCTGTTGGTAATTGTTTTGTGACATGCAAACGCTGGCCATTTTTTGCGTAGTTTGCTGTGAGTACGTGTGTGAGTTTTCTTTAGCAAAAATAATCCACAGAATTGTTACAAGTAATCCGCTGTGATGTCTTTACTGGACGATCTTTCAAAACGAACTGAACTCTTTTATCGCAAATTATGTGTTTGATAGCTTCAAGTTGTAGTTCGTTGTTTGGTGGTGGTTGTTCTTCTTGTGTTGAGAGCGAGCAAGTATTTCTTGTAGTGAGTAATGAAATTTTGTTGGGTTGTGTTGTTTACTGTTTGGAATCGTATTCCACAATGATACCTTTCGTCCTGTTGCTTCTCTATTTGTACTCACCATGAGAAGAGAATAAGGGTTTGTTATTGTTGTTCGTTTGCAGTTAGATTTTCTACCTGCCCTTTGACATTGTAAGGGTCTACAGAGGGTTTCTCAATTTTCTATGCCCAATTCAGGCGATCTCTGTTATGTCCGTCCATGTAAGGATATTCTTCCTTTAGGGCCTATGTGTGGAGTTTAGTGCCTGCGAGAGTAACAGAGTGAGAGAATGGAGAGGGAGAGAGAGAAAGATTTTAAGGATTTGTCTATAGCTATGTGCATTTCTAACAGGTCACAAACATGTCATGTTATTCTTGGTTGGATTTTAACAGCAATGTGCGAGTAAGGACCTTTCTCGGTTGAAGTTGGATTTGTTAGGGGCGCTGTGTTTAAGCGCCGCATTTGGGGGTTTCCCAGTATTTACATGTACATGGATTTAATAAATGAAGGTATTGATATTTAAATAGTTCATGTTGGGTGGCACAATTAAATATTTTTCCTACAATTTGGAATGATTGCATTGTTTAATATTCAAATTATTTTATTTACAATTTTTATGTAAAGACTAATATTAAACACTATACATTGAAAAGTAAGAAATACTTGTATTCTTCTTATGTCATTAAATTATTTTTATGTCTTACTGTCCCTGCATTTGATAAAATTTTGCGGAACCGATGCTGTTGCACTATTCAAAAATGCCTTAATTTTTTATGTATTTTTCAAAAACAAATCAAAGAAATATTGTCAGAATCTTAAAATTTTCTGAAACTTTCCAATGTCGGCATATTCCAAAACAAAAAATTTTTTGTTTCATTAAAGACTCTTTCTGCACACATATTATATATTTCTTAAAAACTTAAATGTTGTATATCAAATTTTTATTCAAATCTAACTTTATTAAAGTGGATTGATTTTAAAAGGATATATCAAAAATCAAATATGTCGGAGATTTGAAACAACTGGTATTCTGTAAAGTAAATAATTAATAATAATATTAGGAATTTTTTTTGGTGGCTGCCAAAAAAATTGATGCTTATTGAAGTGACTAAAGACTCCATTATTTACAATTTTGCACATAAATTCATCGGTCCACTTTTAAGGAGGCTATTTTCTTACTTTCGCTATATCTAAGCTTTGGGCCACAGTTTTCACATAAATCAGCCAGAAATTGGCATTACGGATTAATGAAGTAGATCCTAAACTTGCAGAATATTTTCAATATAATTACATATTTTTTTATCCTCCATCGTTAGCACCTTTCGGTTTTAAATATTTTATAATATTAATTCACCTAAGAATGCTAGCAAAAATATTTCAATGCTACTGGTAAAGGTTTGATCATATGGCATTTGTAACTGATGCAAAGCAAATGACTTCTAGGTTACATAAATTGATATTATCTCTTAAATATGTATTTTAAACAATATTTCCCTCTAGTATAATATACAAATTTGAAGTAGAAAATAATCGAAGACTTAAGATTATCATGATCGTTATATTTTTTAGTATTTTTATGTTATATTTATTAGTATTTTTAAAGATGCTTTTAACGTTTGTGGTGCGGAGAAATTTTTTGATACGAATACATCAACCCTCCTTTCAAATAATTTTGCAATAAGGGTCCACAAGATGGTATTCCAAATTATTATTTCGATTTCAGCCGAATTGTACTTTTGAACTTAGGTTCGTACCGGTTTCATTTAGGTACTGCAATCATTTTCGTGACATAAAAAAATTAACTTATTATACTGAAATTTTAAAGATAAGAAAACATCCTTGCATCGCATGGAAAGGTCCCCATATATCGACAGGCATTAAATTATGCATGAACACAATTAAATTATCAATTCATAATTTTTATTTATTTTTTTTTTCATATATGACTCATTTCAACTTTTTTTGGATTATAACACAACCAATTGTACCATACAAATATATCTGTTGGGAGCATGAGGCCAAAAAGTTTGTAACACCTTGACCATCTTGTAGAATATCGAACTTCACATCTCGCCGAACTGAGTCCTTTTAGCTATGTAGCTCTGTAATCACTCTTATAAGTTTCAATCTTCATGAATTGAACTTAACATTTTGGAGATATACGCCAAATATTTAGAGGTTGAAATGGACCAAAAACTGTTTCTATTTCTGATTTTGCAGTCGTCTTATAGATCACATACATATAGAGAGATCGACGCGTAACTTTGCGTAAGTTTCGAGTTTTGGAAGCCTACAATTTTTGATAATCATCGAGAAGCGAAAATTGCGAAATCTCCATTCAACGTAAAATATTTTTAATCTGAACTTTATATAGTCAAGTACCGGAACTATAACAAAATATCTGAATGATACACATTTTTCTATCATCAGCAATATGGCTACAGAGGGTATATATCATTTGATACGGCCAAAACGTGCCTCTTCGAAATAACGGTTTTAGACCCTAGGTCTCTTTGGACCAGATCCGTTTCAGGGAAATTGGAGTCTATCTAAGGGTGTCCGTCCGTATGTCTGGCTGGTACGCACGATAACTCTCAAAGGGAGTATCAGATTTAGTCCAAACTTGGTGCATCGTAAATTTTATTAACAAACTTAGATCGAGTTCGGAGATGGGTAACATCGCGACACTCCTTCTGGTACTTTCCCACAAAAGGTCAAAGTTTTCAAGTAAAATATTTTTCTGCACAGATCAGATCATGGAATTTTACTCCAATTTTGAAAATCCTAATATTTGCATCTGTGCAAATATTGGTCAGTTTAGGTGGCAAAATGGACAATATCGGCCCACTCCACAAAGGGCAACATTTTGAATAACTATAACTCTCACAAAATGCAAAATAAGCATCAGATTCTCTTAAAATTTCACAAATCCCAACATTTTCAATAACACAAGATCTGGTGTGGAGATAGGATATATCGGACCACTACCACGGCAACCTACCCCATAACGGGTAATTTTTTTTAATAACCATGAAGCTCATATAACGCGACTTAAGCGTCCAATCACTTGTAAATATATCAATATTTCGACTAACACAAGTTCTGGTGTGAAGATGGTAGATATGAAACCATTTGTTCTATTATCTCCCCCACAAAGGGGTCAAATTTTTGAATAGCCAAAACGCTCATAAAACGCGAAATAAAATTCTGAATCTCTTCGAAATTCTGGAGTGAAACATGTCATTTTTTATTTTTTTACATTCCTATATTTTTATCAGTATTAGAAATGTGGAACACTTCGGCTCACTTTGTTTGGCACCCCACGCATATTTTAATTGAAGGTAGTAGTTGATATAGTTCAAATCGGGCACGTTCTGATATTTATATCACAGTTAATTCTGTGAAGTGGATAATATTGGTTGACTCCTTCGGTATCTCCTCCATAAAGGATCAACGTTTTCAACAATCACAATGTAAGTTAAAATATATTCAAATAAATTGGCATGGGTTTTAGGCAAAACCGGCTGATACTTTTTAACGTAACGTTTTTATATTTTCATTTGGAAAGTAAAACTTTTGAAAAAATATTATAAATTCCAAATCCATTATGCGGGCATGTTACGTTTTGTTATTTAAAACATGAAATAAAAATTAAATTATTTTAAAATTGTACTACATTTCATCAAAACAAAAATTGCAAGGGGAAAATGTAAAAATACTTTTGGAAAATGTAAATTTATAAAGACTTTTTTGTTCCAAAGGAGGTAGACCCGGACGAAAATTTTTGAGTAGCTTTAGGATTTTAAGCTGATTAAGAATATATCGCTCATTTACTCAAAGAGTAGCATAACTCAAAAAATGACTTTTTAAGTTAACAATTTCTATTTTTTCTACGAATTTTACTTGATGTTTCTAACATATTTGGATGTTGATATATGTAGATATCGAGGAGTTACAGCTGTTTTACTGGGAGTTTGATATAAATTAAAAAACAGTATATTAAGCTTATGAAACACTTAAATACTGTGAAACTTCCTTGATAATGCACAGAAATTTGGCACTGTTATCTGGTGACCTCAATACCCATAATTTTCTATGTAATTATATTACTTTTTTGTTTAAACCTTTTCAATTCTGGACGAAAAAATTTAATACACATCACAAATTGCGGTTTTCCGAAGCTAAATTTTATAAAATGTGAAGAGGGAAATCTAAATAAAGTTTCTAGCGTTTTAAATGAATCTAGTTTAAATATGCCTTTGTAAAACTTCCCATTTAACTCACTTCATCTTTCGAAATAACATCTTATAATTAAAGAAAATATTTGCTTCCTAAAGACCCAGTATATGATAAAATAGTGGATCCTTCGCATCGATTACCAATATTTTCGCTCATTCAGTGCCTTAGGATGTGATTGCATATATTTAATCAATTATCAGAATCTACCATTTGAAATTGATTTTATATGCCCCACATCGCTAAACCAACTCTTGAGTTTCCATAAAAGAATTTTGAAATTCATATCTTTCATAAACCAAAGGCATTCCACTTAACTTTAATGCAGGTGGCGCCATCTGTTGATACATGTCATTAACTCTTCATATGAAAAAATACAAAAAACTACACAATTTTGAAAAACTTCTAAATTCTTTTATTTAAAGGGGTTTCTTAAATGCAACTAAAGAGAAATCTTAACGCGTTAAGAATATTTTATATTGAAAAATAAGTGTCAGATGCAGAACCACATGCCATCAAAACAAGTA